CTACCACCACCTGGCCTATAGCAAGCACTGTATGTGTTAGCTATTACTATTACTAGTATTTTACTGGTAACGGTTTTTCCAGTTCTGTGAATGAGCTCTGTCTTGTACAGTCAGCACACCATAAATTGTCCAATTGGCAACTGGACAATTGCTAGGGCTGCAGCTGGGGCTAGATGATCCCATATGCAGACTAAGCCCCTACACTCAAGCAATGCAAAAGGACCAAGCCAAAAGTAAATAAATAAACTTCAATAAACTTTGTTTTATGATTTAAAAAAAATTCCACCAGCACTGATAGAGTAAGCACCACTATATTTTTTTAGCTTTGTCCCAAAAGACTTACCAGGAAGCACGGTATGCCTTGGAACAGAGAACACAGCTGCCTCTTTGGTCAGGTGTCTGAGCCAAGCACCTTGACTTCCTCAAGCTCCCTGTGCTCACTAAGCACAGCTGTCACCAGGCTCAATCCTCCACATCACCCAGGGATCTCTTTCCTGTCTTCCCCATCTCTGCTCTTGTCCTGTTTCATCTCCCAGCAGGGGTGGCTGGATCAGCTAAGACTCTGAGCTGTGTCTAGCCAGGTGTAACCCAGTAGGCAAGGCAGATCTGGATATCCATAGAGACAGAGACACTAATATAGCTCAGGCTGAGGATCTCTGCTGCCATTCCCACCTAGAGCAAAGACACTTTGAAATGTGCAAGGTGGAGCCACAGCGAGCTTAAAACTGTCCATCACTTTCTCTCTCCCTTTTCAGGATATTTCTTTGTCCTTTAGTGCCTTCTCTTCTCCTACTACCCAGAAGCTACCCTCTAGCAGCCCTCTGGCTGCCCAGGAGCACTAGCTATGGTCAAGGAAATACCTCTGCTCCACTAGGAACTGGGTTTTCATCTTTCTCTCCTATTTGCTCACCTTTGCATTTCCCCTGAGGTGCGACTGTCATTATTGGAGGAATTGGCTCGGCTGGCTTCTGGTGTCATACTTATGGATACAGAAGCACTCATGGCTGCCGATGAATTTTATCTGCTTCGGAGTGGTCTGTGTACTTCAGAATGGAATAGAGTTTGTATATAAAGTAGAACATCAGGTCAAGTAACAGACCTGTGGGAAAGGAGTTTAAGGACACAGCCTAGTCCTGCTGGTATCTTTTAAAATCATACAGCATGCTGAAGCCCTACATGCAGAGAGAGAAATAAAATCTATCAGAATCATAGCTCAATTTAGTTATAGGACAGGCAGTCAGTTATCCAGCAGCATACAAACAAACATGTTACTTTGATTGGAAATTCTCACTTATTTTATGCTTTGGATCTACAGCTTTCARACTTTCGGTTTTGAATTAGAAGGATGTAGAACCAAGACTCAGGAAAGTTTATAACCTTCTCATTTTACAGCTGTGAAAAACAGGATAAGAAAATAACTTGGACAAGATCCCATGGCAAGATGGTAGCCTATATGGGTCTGGGAAAAGCTACCAAGATTTTATATATATATAAGATGGAACAAGGCTTCCAGCAGGTTAGGGGAAGAATGAGATCCCCTTTGACACAATAGATCTTTCTCCTTGTTTGAAGGGATTCTCAGAAACCAGCTGAATCTGTCATGTCCAAGAAMAAAAGTACAACTAAAGAAAAAAAATTCCTAGTGCATGTAAAAAAATTACCATCTTCCCATTTTAAATAATACATTGGTTAAATCAGTGAGCAGGCAGAATGGTATGTCATCAACCTGTGGCCTCAACATATTAGTGACCCTACACTCTTGCAAAGGTTTTGTCCCCTATGGTGTGGTAGTGCAGTTCCCACCAAGACAACAGTGGGCATTTTTCCCCAGCTCCAATTTCAGCARCCTCATGTTGGTAGATTGAAATTGGCCATGAGGCAAGTATTTACAACACAGAAGTCATCAAATGCTACAAATCAGAGCTTTTCATTGTTCTTGATCTGGGTTACCTACTTTCTTCCTTCCCAAGAGCTCTATTTATTTGTTACCAGGTCATCTTGGCTCAGTTCACTTCCAGCTCCCAAGTTCAGTAATTGTTATCAGAGCAAAGTGTCAGCTCCTTATCTAGAGATAAAGGTACTGAAGGTGCAAAGCTTTTGTTGAGGAACCAAAGACACATCTTGAGCCTCTGGCTACCACCATGGAATGGAAACAGGAGCATATGGGTGGCTATGACTGTTTTAGYCTGCTTTTCCACTGCTATGTACAAAGACATGATAAGAATAAGAACAATTTGAGAGAAGGAAAAGTTTACTTGGGGCTCATGGATTCAGAAGTCTCAGTAACAGAAGGCCAACTCCATTCCTTGGGACCCAAGGTGAGGCAGAACATCAAGACAAAAGGATTGGGCAGAGGAAAGCAGTTGGAGGTATGGCCACCAAGAAGCAAAGACAGACAAAGCTTAGCTCAGGAAATATATACCCCAAAGGCACACTCCCAGTGACCCAGATCCTCCCACCACACTCTACCTGCCAAAGTTACCACCCAATTAATCCCTATCAGAGAATTCATGCACTGATTAGGTTAAGGTTCTCATAATCCAGTCATTTCACCTTTAAATGTTCTTGCATTGTCTCACACATGAGCTTTTGGGGGACACCTAATATCTAATCCATAACAGTGACCTTTTATATCCATTTGCTACTCTATGTACAATTGTTCCTCATTCCTATTATGGGGACTCAGGAGTTGAAAGATTGTTTCTCTGAGTCAATATTAATGTGGGAGAGCAAGAGAGAGAAATACTCTGATATTTTTGCTTTACCTGAAGAACTTTTGTGGGTCTTTTGATTGGTGGTTATGAGCACTCTCAAAAGAAATTACATGTTTCCTTTGAATGGGCACTTTGGCTTGTCATGGTTAAATTTCATGATATTAGAATATATAAAAGAAGCATGAACTGTTGCAGGGAAAATAGAATGCTTAAAAAATATATACCCTTGTATGTCAAGGACTAAGAAACCCTGGCCCCTTTGATTCATTATCAGCTTTTCTCTAGGAAAAGCCACTAGCAGTCAGAGAGTGAGATATGGGTAGAGTTGATGACTGACTCATGGCAGGGTGTATGAAAGAACCCATAGAATATTTCCTGCCACATTAGGCACATGACTTTATAATGTCGTTTTCCCTTGTTAAGCATTTGGGAAGTCAGATTTATTATCTCTGCTTAACAATCCATGAAACTTCACAAATGTCAAATCYAGAAAGGTTTGGGGCCTCCAGTGTTGAGGTCAGAGAGAAAAGGCCATGTGGACAAAAGAGAGACAAAAAGAACAAATGAAGATAAAAGGGCTTAAAACAAATCTCAACATCCTCATAATTTTGCTTTGGATTGGCTTGACTCTTAGAATATCTCACATCCATGAGAAACTGGTCCTATTAGATATCAAAGGATTCCATGTAATGTTAACAGCCAATAGATCCAAAATATCTGAATCATCTGATTAATGAATTTTTTTTTCTAAATTGTTGAGCCGTTAAACAGTAGAATAACTGGCTTTAAGAAGCAGTGAATCCTCGACATCTTCAGTCAAGACACTGAACAACAACTTCAGTTGTTAGGTTGTTGTAATGGGGGTTCCTAAATTGAATGGTGATTGCCACTAGTCTACCTGAGATAGGCTGAGAATCTTCATTAGGTGAAGGATTATTCTCTATGTATCTCAGTTAACTTGGAAAAAGAGAAAAGATAAGAAATACTATTGCAGCTCACCTTTCCCTCTCTGCACCCCACCATCTAAGAGGAAATTAAGCCCAAGGGCCTAAAGCAGAAAAATTGGGACAATTCAGGTTCTGATGAAGTATCAACTTATAGCTTTCTCTTCTRTTATCTTCCTACCTAATCACTCTTTCTTGAGTCTAAACAATAAGGGTGCTTGGTCTCTTCTGTATTAGGAAACTCAGTTTCCAAACTATTCACATGTAGTTTGATATATGCCAATCAAGATGCTTAGACATTTTAGGAAATTTTATGGCTAAATCCAAGGAAATATCATATATTTATTGGTGAAATTCCAAGGACCTACTATGGGGATGTATATAAGCTGGGTTGATTAAAGGATAGTGTTCAAATAAAGGGTAAGCTAAGATTAATTTTATATATTCAAATGTTTTATGCTAGGARCAGTATCCTATCATCTTTTTAATAGAAAAACAAAGCTTTGAGAAAGGTGTATCTGTGGGGGTAGGGCAAGAGAGAGGGAGAGAGATGAACTTGACTCAGGTTACATTTTTGTTAATAATCACCTGTCAAGTTTATGTATGAGGCACAATGCTAAGCCTCAGGAAACTATGAGAAGCTCAGCAGACATGTTGACACTGTGAAGTTKACAGTCTAATGCCTATCTCTTCTAAAAGGTCTAGCAGACTCAGTCTTCCAGCACAGAATTCTTTCTACTATCTTAGAGCTGACTTCCAGAGAAGTTATAAGAAATGACAGAGCTATGAATGGAAGATTTTCTCCCTTAGAGGTACCCCTAGAACAAATCAGATTCTTTTTTTAAATGATTTTTTTCCTTGTCTTTTTTCATTTGTTCTTATTAGTTATACATGACAGAAGAATGTATTTTGAAATATTATACAAAATGGAGTATWTGGAGTATAACTTCTCCTTCTTCTGGTTGTACAGGATGTAGAATTAATTGGTCATGTAATCATCTATGCACATAGGAAAGTAATGTTCGATTCATGCTACTATCTTTCCTATTCTCATTCTACCTCCCTTCCCTTCATTCCCCTTTGTCTAATCCAAAGTACTTCTATTCTTCCTTGCCCCTCCCTTATTTTGAGTTACCATCCGCACATCATTATTTCACTCAGCACAATAGTCTCCAGTTCCATCCATTTACCAGTAAATGTCATAATTTTCATTTCTCTTTATGGTTGATTAGTATTCCACTGTGTATGTATGCCACATTTTCTTGATCCATTCATCTGATGAAGGGCACCTAAGGTGGTTCCAAAGTTTAGCTATTGTGAATTGAGCTGCTRAAAACATTGAATAAGTATAAAATGCTTCACAAATTTGCATGTCATCCATGCACAAAGGCCATGCTGATCTTCTCTGTTATCATTCCATGTCTGACCATTTCCTTTATTCAAATTGGATTCTTGATGAAACTATAAACAGGGGCAACACTTTTAAGGCTCCAGGCAAAGCCATCTTCTCCRATCAACAGTGAGGTATCTAGCCAATGCTTCCTCCAGCTTTCTCTTCCCTGTATCTGCTACTCTTTTTTTCCCCCACATCAGAGGTAGCCTTACTAATAAATACACAAGCAACAGCAAGTGGGTCGGTTCCTTTCTGGACAAAAGATATAAAGGTCTAGCCACACAGGAGAACTCAAAGTCGCTAATGCTTGGCACCTACTTCAACCACTCCCCATACCCTGCATCATTTTTCTCTAGGATCCCTCAGAAACCCCCAAGAAGAATCCCCATCAACAGGGAAAGATTCAGGCAGGCCTTGGGRAGCAGGGCTGGGAGGAAGTGAATCCAGGCAACTCTATCATCTGCTCCGTGGGAGAGGAGGCTGGTGAGCTCAGAGGCCTGTTTTTTTCCCTCAACAGATGCAAGAAAGGAGCCGGAAAAGGTCAGAGATAAATGCAGCCTTCACTTTGTTCTGCATATTCAAAAGGACTTCTCTAAAGAAAGACCCAAAATATATGTATGTTCACTCAACCTTTTCTCATCAGGCACAGGGTTCCAGATATGGTCATGACAGAGTAATCACCCAGGAAATCTTTGCAGTTCTGCAAAACAGCAGAACTTAGGAGCAGGGAACCCCCAGAAAGAGTATACTTCATGAAGGACCCATTCATGAGTCTACTGGGAGGAAGGGAATCTTGGAAACAGAATATTATTTTGAGAAATCATCCCAGAGGGGAGCAAAAAGTTCATAAGGGAGAGTGCCAGGGAGGGAGAGAGTGGGAGACTGGAACATTGTCATCAGAGGCGGCTTGAATTGGAAACAGTTCAAGACGTCATCGTGGCTGACATCCCCACGCATAATCAGAAATTCCTTTCAATTATGTGGGAAAAGTCTCTCTGCATTGGCAGCCCAGATGCCCCTGTGAAGAACGAGCATGAAATGAGTCTCAGGGAAATGTCAGCCTGGGAGCCAGAACCGATTGCCAATGGCTTGCTTGAGGGAAGACAGGCCAAAGAAATGGGGCTGATGGAATAATCTGTTGTCCCCAAAGGCAACACCAAACAAAATGTCCAAGGGTGAAGGGACTCTGCAYCCTGTTTGTTGGTGCAGACACCCATTTTATCAACATCAGTGAGAAATGTTCAGTCCCACAACCCTGAAACATCTTTTCTRCCCTCAGTTTCCACAAAAAGGACCCAATCTGCCATTTAAACCATGGTTTCTATATGTCCTTCTGTCCACCAAACTGCACTGTCTACCATTCTCCAGATTTTATTAAACTTCAGGAACTACTTCAAAATCCACATCCCCACCTGTAACAAATGTTTGATACCCTCGTATCTCATGTCTGACCATTTCCTTTATTCAATGTCTATAGTCCAAATACTAAACTCTTCACTACTTGCTGTATGAGTAAATTCATTGAAAAGTAGGAATAATAGAATAAAGTTTTAAAGTGGATATAGGTTATTTAGCAGAGAGTCATTAAATGTTATCGAAAAATTGGAAGAATATTAAATGTGATGGTGAATAATTAGTTTCTATCCAATAACAAAATTTCTACATTATAATCATAGGGTCATAGCCTGCTAGGACATGAGTCCAGGAGCAGCTAATGTGGCTTCTTTTTGTTATATATGAGAAATTTGAAGTGATACTGGGGACAGACCTTGTTCTTGACTATTCAGGAGGTTACTGCCAAAGACAGCACTGTGTAAGTGTGATAACTAGAAAAAAAAATCCATAAAGAAGACATGGAGTCACTAGAAGAGTCTATTGCTTCTCAAACTTGAGTGTGAGAGCAAATCAACCAGGGTCATGTCAACATGCAAATTCTGATTTAGTAGGCCCAAGGTAGGGCCTGAGATTCAACATTCCTAACAAACTCCCAGATGGTAGTCTTTGTACTGCACCTAAGGTAGCCAGGATCTAAACCAGCACTATCTGATAGAAATATAATGTGAGTCACCTATGTCATTTTAAAAGTTTTAGACATTTCACATTCTTTTCTTCATACTCATCTTTGACATCTAGTACACAGTTTAAATATTCAGCATAATGTAGACGAGTCACACCTCAAATGTCCAATCACTATGTATGGTGAATGGATTCCAGATTGGCAAAACAGTTCTAGACCACTTCTCTGTCACTGGTACAGTGTCTTGTGGAATCTGTGCCAGKTAGAAGTCTTGAAACCCACTAGACCAACTCCTTCCAAGAACAGAGCTCATTTCTGTGCATGTCCTGTGTTGTTGTGCCCAGGACAGAGTACTTATGGAGCAGGTAGGCCATGAAGATTCCCATTCACTACTTCTCCCCTCTCCTCTTAAAGGCAGAATCTCCTTTCCCCATTATCTTCACTCACCTTATGATTCAGCTCAGGGCTCTGTGCTGGGTCTGTTAGATTGGGATCCTTCCAAGCTTCTTTCTTCTTCCAAGAATTGATGGTTTTATCTACTCTAACATCATCTTCAGCTATTGCCCCAGATACCCTCTCAGCTTCCTCTTTTTCTTCCTAAGAAATAGTTCCTACGGCCCTCCCTCATTTCCCCTTTTAAAAACTCATTCATCACCTTCCTACTCCCTTTGGAGCCAACTTCAGACTCCTCTCAGATTTAGAGGCTTAAGTGGAACACCAGAGTCTAATAGAGGACAACTGGGGGCACTATATCAGATGCTCCTGTTAGGAGATGCCCACAGAACTCAGGCTCCTGTTTATATACGGCCCTGAGAAAAATGGCTCATGGTCAAAGTACTAAGTATCTAAGGAAGAGTATAGTATCGTGGTTAAATGCTCAGGCTCTGGGACCCAATAGCCTGTAGTCAAATACCAGCTCAGCAGTATATAAGAGCAGTATGTAAATTCTCTAAGCTTCAGTGTCTCCTAATAACTATGAGGTGAYGTGACAATCTCAGGAAAGGACTGATGACAGTGCCCCTTCATAGTGTCAATCAGTGGCAGGTTACCATCAAAGCTGGTGGGTTTTCAATTCTGAGAAAAGGAGCCTGATCTTCACAATAGGGCTCAGCCAGAAGAAATTCAGTGTCGGAAAAGAACTGAACTCACTGTGGATTGTGCCTAAATTAGAGCACAAATATTTCTATTTCACAGCAGACACCTGATCATTCTAACCTCAGAACCTTCTAATTGTTGTCCTGTAATGTAGTCCTGTCCCCCAGCTTCCCTCCCCACCCCCATTATCCAGCGTTTTCATTTGACCTTCTCCTGGCTCTTTAAGAACCTAGGGACAGGCCTTTGAGGAAATCACTGCTAAAGGATCTGCTTGTGTGAGGGGCTTGTCTCTATGCTGCCCAAAGTCACCCTCATGCAGTTTGCAAATAAACAACTTCTCCCCTGGAAGAAAGAACAAATAATTCATAATTGGCAATCTGCATAATGAGTGGTGCATCTATGCAAATATAACATTTGGAATAATCTATTAATATCTCAACTGTGATGTCTGTGGGCCACCACTTCCCATGCTAAAGAACTGGAGCCAAATATTTTCTGACTCCTCTTGAGGTGAGATGAGAGAATAACAAGCTGCTGTCTTCTTGGGGTTCCAATTAGAAATCAGGAGACCACCAGAGTTGAGAAGGATCTCAGGGGCTGTTCAATCCTTACCYCCACCCCCATCTCTCTCATTAAGAGGAAGGAGTCAGAAATACAGAAAGGCTTCCTCGGGTTATACACTGTTAGAGGCAGGACTAAGGTAATATCCAATTGCAAATTCCCAGCCTAGAGCCCTCCCTGAGATGCCAGCATGACTCTCCTGATGGAGTTTGTGTTGCTATAAAATAAAGCCTTCCTTGTGGAAAGGTCTTTAGCTCTCCCACCCTACCTCCTATCCCTTCAGATYGAATTCTTCTTGCTGATCTGGACTTCTAATCTAAACCAAATTCCATCACTACAAGACCAAAGGATTGGGGAATTCAGACCAAAAACATCTGATCCCAAAAGAGATGGCCATTTGTGAGTTAACCTAGAGATACAACCCCTAGGTGGGCTGAGCCCCTTTCCTATGGAAAGAGAGAGACTCAACACACACACACACACACACACACACACACACACACACACACACTAAAAAAAAAAAGCTTCAGATTTACAAAGCTAATACTTCCACTACTGAACTACCAACATCAAGGCCCTGTGAGCCATCTGTGATTACATCTCCCAACTCCTTACCTCTCAAACCTTTCTCTCCAGCCAAACCTTGGTAGCCTCACCAATGCCATCATTCCATCATGCTCCCCCACTTCCCTAGAGGTGAGAGTGGTTCCCTGACACACAAATATCTAGCAAGTAGCAGTGCATGTCCACACACCTGCTGGCCAGGACAGAGAAACTGGCTGGGGACAGAGCAATCAGTCATTTAAACAGGAAATTACCCATTGCCCAGGTTGGAAGGGTATTAGTATAGATGTGGGAGGTTTGGGTTAAATCATGGCATGGACATCAACAAGCCAGTTTTAAGTTTTTGAGCTTTCCTCAAGGACAAGGCAAATACTTGCTCCTCACTGGTGCTTTTCTGGACTTAACCTCGCTTCTCAGAGTTAGTTAGTAGCAGCTCCTCCTGCTCCCACTTGTACAAACCGCCATTTTGTTTTATACAATTTGAATTTTCCTGGGCTATTTACATCTCTCTTTCAGACTAGATTGTGAATCTTTTTGTCTCCCTGGGGGTCCTGAGCACCTTGTATGGAGTCTGCCACTAATAAGCCCTCAGCAAGTGGTTAACAGCTGACAGAATGAGTAATTTAAGTCATAAACCTCTCCAGACTTCAATTTCTGCACCAGGAAAAAGAAGTACTTGGGCTTTCTTGCCTTATGTAAGATATTACTGAATACCTGCTATGTTCTGAGTTTTAAGAAATATAGGAAACCTGCTCCTAGCCCCCAGGAAGCTAGAACAAAAGACAGACACATTCAGGAAAGAATATCATCCCAGGCTAA